CGGCATTTCTTTTAGAGTATTAGGACAGTATTTGCAACGATATTAATGCAAATTCTGTGCTATATAGAAAGGTTGTTATCCACTACGTTACAAATACTCGAGTATAAACATTCTAACAAACTCTAAAGGAAATTATGTTATTAACTTTAATATTGAAATATCTCGGAAACGGGAGACCGTCTACGCCCAAATGGAGAGGTGATTTTTATTCAGAGGAACTTTACAATTCCGTCATGATTCATTGAAATTGATGAGGATCACTCTGGAACCTTCTCTTGTTAAATGAACCGTTCTTCATTTCTGTTATTGATCTATACCTTCATATGTGTTATTGTGTGATTCACAAAGGTCTATTTTATATAATTTGTGCTGAATGTTTCATAATTTAATTATTTCGTCAATTATATATGAAATTAAACTAAAAACACAAGCAAAATTACATAATAAAAATAAAAATAATTAAATCTACTTAATTAAGTTACCGAATGAAGACTGTGATGTTTTATAAATTCATAATTATTAAACATATTTAATATTTCTCTAATTTTTCATATTTATATATATACATAAAGCTAAATTATGAAATTTTGGAGAAAATCTTAGTTGTATAACAAAGTTACTTCTTTTAGTACTTTATTTCTTATAAAGTAATTTGGTAAATTAAAAATTAATTATAATAAAAAATTCAAAAATTGAACTATTATTATATTTTAGTATTTATATTGTAAACTACATCTATAAAGCTTTGTATATATTCACTGATATATAAGAAACAAATGTTAAACTAATAAAACTATGCATATTCAATAATATGCATAAAAAGCAAAAATCTCTTCACATATATATCACATTTTAAATAAACAGTTTGTCAGAACTCATTTGGTGAACTAACTACTAAATTTCATAAATTTTCTGGCATACTTGATATACAACTTAGACTGAAAACGATGAAAGACAATGGTTATAACTACAGCTTCAAAACCTCACAATGATGGCAAAAGGAAGAAACCAAGTATTAAGACAGCGAGCGAATGACTTTCACAAACCAAGTATAGGTTAATAGATTAATACAGGAATAAGAGGAGGAAGAGAGATGATGAAGGATAGTGTAAGAAGGATTTTATGCATTACCTCCAGCAATAGCAGCAGTCTTTGACCCGATTTTATTCTTCTTCCCCGCTAAGAAAGAATCCAAATATTAATAAATATTTCAACCTTATAATAAAATATATATGTTCGTTTATTTTAGAGGAGGACTAATATACAGTGTCTATAAAGTCTGACCCTATAGGCTCTATATCTCGAAAACGGCTATAGATATAGAAAAATGTTTCATATGAAAGTGTAAGATATCAAGATCATTGAAGATCATTCCTCTTATTTTCATATTTACATAAAGTAAATTTTAAGTGCAAAAATGAAAATAAGAGACACAACTTCTAGTAACCTTGATCTTAACAGTCCAGTGTTATTCAAGGCACGACTCTGAACAACGTTCAAAAGATTTTAGACGTTGATCGGTTGACTAATACTTTGATAATGACGGTACTGTAACTTTCAATTCTCATAACTCGAAAAGTACTAAATAAAAATGAATTTTATTGTAGTGTTTTGAAAAGTTCTCGGGGTGAACTACAAGAATATGCAATAAAAAATAGGGAGTTCTCTGAAAACATCAGTCACATTAACTTAATATTGAGAAGCTCACTCAAAGTCAAGTCCATATTTTCATCATACATCCCCCTTAATATCTTACAACTTTTGTATAAAACATTTTTCCATTTATAACTATTTCCTAGATATAAGGATCAGACTTTATACATACCCTTTAGGATTTTAATGAAAACTTACTTGGCAGGCTAAAAGGTGCAGATTCAAAAGGATCTTCTGGTAATTCCGTATATGTCATAACAAGGCTTTCGCGACTTTTTACCCCACTGATACTAGTGTTGCTCCCTCTCCTTATTTTATCAAATTCAGCACCAAAGATATGATCTTCCGTTAACTGATTAAAAGGTTGTACATCCTCAAACGGATTCCACGTCGCTACATCTGCGCTCAATGATCTCCCCTCTGATCCCATTCGGCTTGAAAGTTCACCCTGATAAAAATGTAGGCAAACTTTTTAATATTAAGTGTTTTCAAAAAATACTTTCAATGTCAATAGTTACTTGAAGATGAGGGATTATCATTAATGCTAGTGCAGTGCATAAAATAATAATAATAATAATAATAATAATAATAATAACAACAACAAATACAAATATATATTAAAAAACGAAATTCTAAGTAAATAAAAATAAAATAAAATTTCACATTTCCAACGTCTGTAAAACATTTGTTATCATCTTTTCGTGTATATAATGGTTTGACGAATTTGATTGGAAGCATTAGTGCATATTAAAGCCTGTTATACACTGACTTCATTTGAGTATAAAAATGAAATGCAAATGTGTGTGTTTCGAATTATGAAATAAATACATATTTCATCTATAATAATATAATAAAATGTATTAAGTATTTTATTATATTATTTATTATATTATATTTAAGCAATTTCTATGTTTATTTATAAACATACTTTTACGTTTTGTGTACGATAGCTTTAATATGCACCAGTGCGCACTGAGTGCATCCAATCGAATTCGCTAATAGATATAATTTTAAACTATAGTAAATACAGAATTGAAATTTTTCCAATAATGTAAAACGCGATTTATATTTTGTAAATGGACCAACGTCGTTCAACAAAAATAAATATAAAATTGTGCGCTTCATGTACTTACAACACGTACATGCGAGGCACTAGTTGCTATACAAGGCCTTGTGTCACTTGGAAGTTCCGGTGGCGTAGTTGGATCATCTGAACGTGGCTTGACCGAAGCCTCTATATATGGCGCTAAGAACTGCGTAGTTTCAGTTGCAAATGCTCTGTAAATGTCGAAACGATGATTATAATATAAATAAAAATATCTTAGATACTTAGATCTTACGAAGAGGAATATCCTTAAAATATGTTGTAGATCTTGTCGATAAAAAGTCTCCACAGGCACGACTCCCTGTAATAAAAATGAACCGTTTGATCTCCACGAGGCGTCACTTTTCGAAATAGACTAATATTACAATTTCTTATTTTCAACGTGTACGTGTGCATTTCTACGTAATTATTTGCACTTTCTATATATTTTTAAGTAATAAAAGTTATAAGGATAATATTCACTTGATTGTTTCTCACAACTTTTGATTATTACGAATCCCTTTGCCTCTTATAAATCGGAGTGCTTTGATTATTGTGACTTTTGTATTACAAGATTTAATAGAAAAATAAATTTTTATTATTAAAAAAATATAATTTTCTCACAAGAAAAAAATATTTAATTGATAAAGACTAATAGTATGAGTAGTTATAAAAACAACTGATGTGAAAACTGTTGTGAAAAATAGCTCTAAAAAGAATTGTTTGTAAAAGTAGTTTGTAAAAACAACTGATTTAATACTTTAAAGGAATCCTAAAGCAAAGTTCGAACTCCGATGAAATCATCAGAGGTCGTGCCGCGCGCCGCACATCAACATATCTTTTTTTACTACCACGGCAATATCTCACGCAACCTATGATACACGCAGTCACACATACGTGTCAATTTTCGTAATAAGAAATTCGTCGCGATAAAGCGTGTAAATCTAATTCTAAGAACTCGACGTTGTTTGTTCGTGTAAACTACGTGTCTAGATATTACTATATTTGTACGTACAGGTTTCAAAGCTTTCATATCAAGCAAATGTTATTACGACTTGACAGCTAAGACGCTATGTTACACTAAGAAATGATTAAAAATATATCAATTTCGAAATTTTTTATCGTTCTCGACATATACTCCACTTTTCAGACACGTATTAATGCGTATACTTTATTACTTTAATCCTGGAAAAGGATTTTCCAATCGGTGAAAGAGAAAAAAAGTATTTCTTATAAAAAAATTATACGTGCTTAGGTGGTAAAACAGACATCTTTAGGATACCTTTAAAGAGCTCTGAAAAGAATTAATAGGTCGCACGAATTCAAGCACGATCTCGGGATGCGTAGAAAGATTCGCTGCGTACAAGCCGGATATTCACTGAAATAAGATAGCAATAATTCGATTGTTCTTCGTATGCGCCCCATAATCATGCCAAAAATTCGCGCTCTAGACCTGAAGCAACACAGCATCGATTTAAGTCTCAAAAATCAAGTTATCTTCGATATCCTTATAACTTTTTTGTGAGAAACAATTAAGTCAATGTTATCCTTGTAATTTTTTTACTTAAAAATATAACACAGAAAGAGCAAATAATAACGTAGAAATGCATCATACTCGTTGAAAATAAGATATTGTAGTATTAACCCGTTTTAAAAAATGACGCCTTGTAGAAGTCAAACGGTTCATTACAGGAAGACTTTTTATCAGGACGACAAGATCAGGACGACAACATATCAAATTTTCAGGCAATTCAACTTCCATAAGATTTGTGTGGGGTCCTTTGATATCATTAAATTGTTGATTTTTTCTTATACAAATATTCTAAAAATAAGTATGCATATTCGTGATGCTATAATATCTCATACATTGTTGCAAAATTACAATCTTTTTCCCTATAAGTCCTTTTTAGAAGACACTTTCTCGGAATCCGGTCGGATATCCAGAAAATGTCGGATATCCGACTCGAAGAAATTGCCTTCTCGAATATCCGATATCCGGTAATTTTATGATCCGGTGCATCCCTAGTATCGATTTCGTAAATTTTCATAAAATCCTATAGATATAAGATATAAAAGAAGAGTTTTAAATATATAAGAGACTTACTTATTAAAAGCACTCGTATCACTGACGTTCCTCCTATGACGTGAGGACGATAATGTCGGACTGTCAGGCGGAGATATGCTCGAACTTATATTTTGACTCAAACTTTCTGTCTTATTAACCGGTTTCGGCAAAGCTGGTGGCGTTACCGTTGGTGGAGTCGCCTTGTTAGGCCCCGTCGGAATGGATAATTTCGACGGTAATGAAGTGACTGGCGGATACTTGGATGACGATGGATAACTAGGATTAGATAGTTTCGGAAGAATCTTGCCAGGTTTCGGTGCAACAGGAGGTGGTATTTTGGCAGGTGGCGGCATTGCTCTCGCGTCATCCTTGAACGGATCTGGATACCCTGTAAAAGCGGCAATGTGAAAAAAAGATCATTTGACCATTTTTACTTTATTTGCTTTTACTTCGTAGTACTTAGATGTGTCGTTACTTAGATTACCTGACGGCGGAAATAGAGCTTCCAAATTTTTCTCGTTCACGTTCGTCGTAGCTCTCGCGTCGTGCTGCCTTGAATCAAAGTAAAATGCATTTTTATCTTGAACGGTGACGGGTGACTGCTGAGTTAAAGGAGAATGACTGATCATTGGGCTCTGTGATTGACCGTACTGCGACGGCTGCCCTTGTGACTGGCCAAAGGGAACATTTTGACTGGGGGTGCAAACTTGTGGCGATACCTGACAAAACGAAACGATTATATTAAGCGTTTGCTGAAGATACTTAAACATTTTCGTATAGCGGAGGAATCGAGTACGCAAGCGATTTGTTAATCTTACTTGAACATAAGAGACAGAATTTGACGGCGTAATTTGCGTCTGATTTCCTTGGCCTGATATTTGTCCTACGATTTGACCACTCAAACTGATCGGTCCCGTGCTAACGGCTTGCCCTTTTGGTCTTTGCCTCGGCGTCACAGATGTGCCCTCAACTGTCGTCGCTATAGGCGTAGGTTTCGGAGTTTTTACAGATGCCGATCTTTTAATATTTTCGGATTCCATAGGTGGGCATGATAATGATTCTATCGCCGGAATTGGGACTTTCTGTAAAGATAAAGTAGCAAGAACTAACGTAAGTTATATTAAAAAAAAAAAAAAAAAAAAAAAAAACAGTACACGTTTTAAGAGACACGTTTAATATAAATTTGCAATACTATTATAATTGTATAAGTATTACAATGTACATACATGTAAATTTTGCACAGGGCACTCTTTACCCTGAATTTGAAAAGCAATTGCGGAAACTTGATAAATATCAGGACGTATGTCAGGATCTGGTTCAAGCATATATCGAATTAAACAATGGAGTGCTCTACTATATCTGTAACATAAAAATATTTTATCTATACATCTGATCTACTTAATATATATATATGTCATGTTATTCACATTTACTTTATTCATTAAATAATTAAATTAATTCGTTAAGTAATTAAAATTGAAGTAATTTGTGTCTATGTAACTTTTCACATACCTTGAATTATCCGGTATAGTGAAATTTCCAGATTGTATGGCAAGCGTGCTTTCGCCAAACGGTAGTGTAAAAAAGCAGAGTTTATACAACAAACATCCTAAAGCCTGAAAGACAGGAATTGTATGTAAAAGACTCGCCGATAAGATTTTCTTAATTTTACATATCACTTCCTTTGAAAATAACACATTTAAAAAACGATTTTCGAATTATTAGCATGAATGAATTAAGGTGCGTCCAGATTATCGAGCTGAACAGCGAGTATTTCGGTAAGCATTTATTATGTAACATTGGCAAAAGACAATAAAATATTTATCGAAATGCTCACAGCTTGAGATTCGACTCAATACTCGGTTCGATAATCTGAATGCATCTCTTTAGATAAATATTACTTTATCAATTTATAAAAAAAATTTATAAAAAATAAACTATTTTCTAAAAAAATCGTCGAGAAACGTTACGACTTCTAATTTTTGTTTCAAAAAAGAGAATCGTAACAATTCTAAATAGATTTTAAAAAAGTTAAAAAATCGTAATAACTCAAAGAATAGTTTAAGGGGTTAAGGTTACATACACTAAAAGTAAAATGTAATAAATATTTGATTTGAACAGTGCCAGTTGAATATTCACTAAATGTAATATACATATATTTATTTGATACAAAAATCATTCATTTGATTTAATTATTAAATTTTTTTATTTAGCAAATATTTGTTTTCCATAAATAAATGTTATATTAGTACTTCAAACAATTATTTATTAAAATTTAGTACCTTTTTTCAGTGTCTCGGTGCCAAAGAATTGACGTATTTTGAGATATTTTTCTTGGGCAAGGAGTAAAATAAATTTAAAAAACTAATAATTCCACATTCTTTAATATTTTATTTATATAAAAAAATTTTTTCCGTCTAATTTGATTATAAATAACCTCCATAATCTGCAGCTGCGTCTAACTCTGCAAAAAAATCCCGGCTCTATAAGCAACATTCGAACTTTCTATGGAAAAATTATTAAGACTCGGTTTTTCATTATCTGGTTAATTTTTTTTTTATGGTTAGGCTTAACCCTTAAAAGAGCTTCATCTATGATAATGTCACAGATGAAGTCCATTAAGTGAAACATCTGATTTTAAATATACTACAAATTAATAAAATAATAATGAAAAACTGGGCCTAAAAATTAAAATTCCAATATTGCCTTCTAAAATAATGTTGTAACTAAGGCCCATCGGCTCACTTTTGGAATTTATGAAAAATAAGATTAAAAATCAATTTTTCGTCTAAAATTCAGACTTTTAAACTTATTAGAAAAATATTAAAAATCAAATTTAAAAAAATAAGACAATGGCCCTTAGGAACAACATATTAGTTTAGAAAATAATATTAAAATTTTAATATTTTTGTATTTCTAGAGAAAGTTGCTGCTCATGAAAGGATGCTGCTCATGGAACATTCTAATTTTCTGTAGAAATTTTCGTGTGATGGCTGCAGAGATTACGAAGTCTATATGTAATCAAATTTGAAAATTTTTTTATATAAATAAAATATCAAGAAACAATGTTAAATTATTATAATTTTTCAGTTTTACTCTCTTCCTGAAAAAAAATCCCAAAATGATGATCAATTTTTCGGTGCCCAGAATGTATGTAACTTCTTTAAAAAAAATCATCGCGATTCCAAACGGGTTTTTTAAATTTTACAAATTTAAAAAAATCGTCACGAAAGATGGCTTTTTAAAGATTGTAAAACGAAAATGACATTTGATCATGTTAAAACATATTCTTTTTTGCCGATATTATTTTGCCAGTCAATAATTTTCTGTCATATTAAAAAATAATTTGTCCTTCTTTCCGAACTTAATTTTGAATTGTGTCACTTTTAAAATAAAGGAACAATATCACGATCGTCACGTATATGCGATGCATATATAAACGTAAGTAATATATATTACTCACCCAAATATCTGCTTTTGTAGTAATAGGCTTTCCACAGTACATATCAACCATTTCAGGTGCTCTATAGCTTAAAGTGGTGTATTTCTTTATTTCTTCCTCGACTACAGCAGCACCATGGACACTGGGATTAAGAACCTTTCCCGTTGCAGATCCAAAATCACACAAAACGTAATGACCGCTGTCAGCGAGCAATATATTTTCCACCTATCGCAAGACAGTTAAATGTAGCTCACGATATTTTCGATGTCATTACATAATATCTATTAATTAAGTAATTCACCTTGAGATCTCTATGAATTATGGGCGTTTGACAGTGATGTAATCTTGACACAGCTTCACAAACGTCACAAAAAATTGATAAAACTTCTGATTCACTGAAACCTGTTTGCAACCTAGAAATAAGAAATTAAATTAATATACAATTAATGTATGCTATAAATTTTAATATTATTAGATGAGCAAAGATAGTAATGGATAATATTTTGCAATTCTTTGAAAAATTAGATACAGACATTATTTTAGATACAGACATTATTATAGATACATAATAATGTCACATATTAGATGTAACATTTGTATACATACATAAAATTATCTAAATATTATTAAAAATAAAGAATGTATTAAAAAAAGTTCTTCTGACCTGTTATTCATCATTTGAAGAACTTGGGATTTACAGTAAGGCATTAAAAGCAGAAGTTCATGTATTCCTCCACTGGTGTGAGTTATGCTACTATCTACATATCCTATGATATTTTTATGACCACTCAGGTTGCTCTGCAAATAGAAATAATTCATTGAAATTTCAATCCATGTAATTAAAATGCCATATATTCCTTTATTATTTCCATTAAAAAAATATTATAGCACAAACTAGCATTTCATCATTTACGAAAGTACTCACAGCAATTTGAATTTCTCTTTTGCACACATTGAGATCATGTTCATTGTTGACATACATTCGTTTAAGTGCATATCGTCCACCTGAGGCTTTAACCAAAAATACAATCGCAAATCCTCCTGTAAAACAACAGTTACATATCTTACATGAGATACACAGTAGAAAGACAGAGAGAAAACAAATGCATAATGTTTTCAGTATTTAATTAAATTCATATATATATAAGTTAAAGAAAAAAATATATCAGAATGAAAAAAATATGAAATAGGAATACGAAGTTACTGTGCATGTTGCGTGTGTAACTTGACACAGATACAATTACAAGAATGGTAATAAAAAATACGATACTCTGTTGGACTTTATCTCAAAGTAAATTTACTGATTAGACAATCAATTTGTTTGCCAGTTTCGGTTATATCGACATGTAACAATATACCTCCGTCATCTGACATTTCACAACAATGCAACTATTATATATAAAAAACTTCTCGCAGTATTAGCTCCCTGAAACATAATTAACATCCTGATTTTTTAAATGGCATAAAACTGACACTTGACAATCCATGTATTTACATTCCTGAGAAGTAATGAACTTAGACACTCGTCAGCAAAATATCTTAGCAAAATATCAACTGTATTTGCATCTTCACATATGAATATTACTAAGCATCAAGACTCGTTTTAATCAAAAAATGACTTTCTTCTTCTCTCTTATTTATGTTTAAAATATTTTATATTTTTTGTGTGATCCTGCAACATTAGCTGTCTGAAAGGCAACTGATTGTTTATTCCAGAGTAACATAGCTGACATTCCCTGGAACCATAAATTCTGTCAACAGTGTAAAACGCACAGTTTGTGGTCGACGTATCAAAAGTTAACGGCTCTTACAGAAATTTTTACCAATTTAATACTAGAAATTATTTATTTTTGAGTATTAGAAAAGCACTGTTGTTCAGAACTTATTAGTCCTTGAAATGAGTAATTAATCAGTATTAAATTTCTATAAGAAGGAGCTTAATGATGTCCAACCAACCACCCGCCCCGGATGCGGATGAAGATCGTATACCATCATCACTTATCTCGCACTCGCCGAGGACAATCCAGGAGAGAAGAGAGAGAGAGAGAGAGAGAGAGAGAGAGAAAGAGAGAGAAAAAGCGGGACAGTCAGGCGTGGCGGAGAGGGCGGGCAAGGTTGCAGTGCAAAATAGAACAGAGGGGATCCAGTCGCGTACACTTCCACTGGAGGCTGAAACACACAGGAGCACACACAAGAGCGGGAACAAGAGGAAGTGTCGATGTCATCATAAAATGTTAGAAAAGAAGCAACGTTCGAGAAAACGGCTTACCTTCTGCCAGGACCTCTTCGACGGTGACAGTGTGGCGGCCCACGACAAACACCTTCCCCAGGTAACTGTTGGGTTCCTTCGACGTGTTGTCGATCTTGGAGAATAGTTTCTTCATGCTGGCGCACTTCGTCCTCGCCGTCGACGTCGATTTGACATAGGGCCCCTCGCGCTGCCGCTGTGCTCTGCTCTGCTCCGCTCCGCTCCGCTCGGCCGATCGCGCCGATCACCGCCCACGGAACGGTACGGTACGGTACGATACGATACGGTACGACGGCACGACGATCTGGTGCGGCGCTCTC